ACGGAGACTTTAGACTTACTCTTCAGCTTTGAAATGTAATTTTTCTGTTGGAAGGACCGTTACTTATTCCATGTCATCTGTCTTAGTCCATTTATTATGGAATTTTATCTATGCCAGTATTATTAGGGCTGTACATTTCATCTCATAGACAAAGTGACTTCCTTTCTGAGCTTCGCATTTGTATTTCTTAGCTCATGAAGGTTATTCTCGGAGTGTTGGTTTTCGGGGTAATCAACAATAACTTGGAATGAGACAGACTGGGAGACCAGTGCCAGATCCGTCGTGAACTAGCTTTGGGATCTAAGGTGACGTAACCTCTCTTAGCCTCAGTTTCTCATTCCAGAGTCTCTCCTGCTTCATAATCATGTGCCCTCTCCCTTCCTTCCCTCAATGCAGATGGCTTTACTATACTGTTCTTAGAAAAGTTTAGCTATTTCACACTAAGTTGTGAATGACTGATAGTCTCTCAACCTTGTGCAGAAAACCACCATTTTGTAAAGAGGACGCTCATGGCATAGAGAAAATTTCAGTTGGCAGGGTCGGGAGCAGTGAGATGGGATGAGGGAACTCTAGTTTGGGTCCAGAAGACAGACAGCCACCCCACTAGGAGCTGTGGGTTCATGAAAACAGGTGCAAGAACAGCACATGCTGCTCTGGGGATGAAATCGTGGCCCTGAGCCTCCGCTCGGTTCTGGGCTGTGGGCTGAGCGCCTTGTCTCACTCGTGCTTGTGCTGACCTGGAGGGCTCTTGTCACTGCCTTAATGCCGCGGATCCTTCATTCATTCATTCATTCATTCCCATGACCAATGCTTACCCATCGTCTGCTATGTCCAGGCATGCTTCTTGGTGCATGGGATTCAGCTACAAGGAAGTCAGCAGGAAGAGAAAGGCCACATACGGACTCACATAGATCGTGTAATTTCAAGTCCTGGTCAATGCTGTGAGCGAAGAAAAACGGGGTGGGGACAGTGGGTAGGAAAGAGGAGGGTGATCTTTTCTATTGGATGTTATCAGTCAAGACGTCCTGGAGGAGGTGCCGTGTTGAGTGGAAAACTGAAGAAAGAAGGCAGCAGAGAGGCGAAGGAATTTGCCCGGGAGAACTCAGCGAGTTAAAGAACAGATTAAACCCCATTTTAAAAAACATCTTGTTTTGAAAAATTTCGAACATTTACAAAAGCACACAGAATAGCGTAAGGAACCTCCCGTAGTCAACAGCAAGTTCAATAATGACCAATTCAAGAACACTCTCATTTCATATCTACACCACCCCCTTCTCTCCACTCATCTTGTTTTGAAGTAAAACTAGATATCATATCATTTAATCTGTGTTTTAAACAGTCACGGTACCACGATCACACCTCAGATAAATGACGACCCCTTCACTTCATCAAATACCCAATCAGTGTTCAGATTTCTAAGTGGCCTGTCAGTTTTATAGTTTAAAAGATTATTTGCAGTTTGTTTGAATCAGAATGTAAGGTCTTCACACTATGACTGTCTTTCTTTATGGTAAAATATACAGAACATGTAGGTTGGTACAAAAATAATTATAGTTTTTGCTATTTAAAAAGTAGCACCTGCCGGGCACAGTGGCTCATGCCTCTAATCCTAACACTTTGGTAGGCCAAGGCAGGCAGATCACAAGGTCAGGAGTTTGAGACCACCCTGGGCAACACGGTGAAACCTGTCTCTACTAAAATACAAATAACTAGCTAGGCATGGTGGCGGACACCTGTAATCTCAGCTACTCGGGAGGCTGAGGCAGGAGAATCACTTAAACCTGGGAGGCAGAGGTTGCAGTGAGCTGAGATTGTGCCACTGCACTCCAGCCTGGTTGACAGAGTGAGACTCTGTCTCCAAAAAAAAGTAGCACCAACCTATAAAATTTTTTGCACCAACTTTTGTACCAACCTATAAAATTTACATTTTAACCCCCCCTTTTTTCTGAGATGGAGCTTCACTCTTATTGCCCAGGCTGGAGTGCCATGACACAATCTTGGCAACCTCCACCTCCCAGGTTCAAGCGATTCTCCTGCCTCAGCCTCTGGAGTAGCTGGGATTACAGGCACGCGCCACCACACCCAGCTAATTGTTTGGTATTTTAGTAGAGATAGGGTGTCACCATGTTGGCCAGACTGGTCTCAAACTCCTGACCTCAGGTGACCCACCCGCCTTGGCCTCTCAAAGTACTCGGATTACAGAGGTGGCCACTGCGCCCAGCCTGTTTTAACCTTTTAGTACATTTATGTACATTCCCATTTTAACCTTTAAATGTATTTATTTACATTGTTGTTCAGGCGTCGTCCACAGAAGCCTTCTCATCTTCCCAAACTGAAACTCGGTTCCCACTAACCCTCATTCTCATCTCCCCCAGCTCCCGACAACCACCCTCCACTTTCTGTCTCTATGAGTCAACTACTCTAGGGTCCTGATCTAAACAGAATCACATAATATTTGTCCTTTTGTGAGCGACTGGCTTATTTCGCTTAGGATAGTGTCTTTGAGGTCCATTCATGTTGGAGCGTGGGCCGGAATTTGCTTCTTTTGAGGATGAAGAATCTTCCCCTACATGGAGGACACGCATCTTGTCTGTCCATTCATCCACCCGCGAACACTGCTGGCGTGTCTTTAAAGTCTTTTCATCTAGGGCTTCTGCCTCCTTCTCTATTTTCTTGCAACATGCTGTTGGGGAAAGCAGGTCACCGTCCTACAGTTGTTCACGTGTGCGGGGCGGCGTCTGTGGCCCTGTCCCTGCTGCGGTGTTTGCTGTGCTCTCCCCTCTGTCTGTCCTTGAATTGGCCATTGGCTTTAGAGCTTTGATTTAATACAGATTCAATGGTTTGTTGTGTTTTTTTTCAAGACTCCTTTAAAGATGGTGTTAAGTTCTTCCATCAGGGGGCACATGCCTGGCTCTCTCTCTTTCTTTCTTTTTTTCTGGGGGGGGGGGAGGTTTGAGACAGAGCCTCACTCTGTTGCCCAGGCTGGAGTGTAGTGGCATGATCTTGACTCACTGCAACCTCTGCCTCCCAGGTTCAAGCCATTCTCCTGCCTTAGCCTCCTGAGTAGCTGGGATTACAAGGGCCTGCCACCACACCAGGCTAATGTTTTGTATTTTTAGTAGAAGCAGGGTTTTATCATGTTGGCCAGGCTGGTTTCAATCTCCTCACCTCAAGTGATCCACCCACCTTGGCCTTCCAAAGTGCTGGGATTACAGGTGTGAGCCACTGCGCCCAGCCCTGGCTGTCTTTCTTTCTGTGATGTTAGCATCCTAATGCCCAATACCTAGATCATGAACTCATTAGCTGGGAATTCGAGGTGTCCTATGATGTCATTCTTTAATCACTTCTCAGCTGAAACACTCCTTCTAGCAGCACTTCCCCTTGCCTACTTTTCAGTTCCTTGGCTAATTCAATTTTCACACCCGCAAAGCTTACGTGCTGTGTGAGCCTTGCTCTGTGTCCCCAGCGTTTACCGCCTGCCTGCTCTGTGCCTCTTGCTGGGGAGAAGTTCCCAACCCCATGGGTGGTCACATACCCATGGGACAGAAAAACAGGTACATGGGTGGATTTGTCCCAAAATGACCATGGGGGTAGAGGTATGATAAAATCCTGCGGGCGCACTTAGGGGACAGTGCCTCCTGGAAATGAAGGGTGCCTGGAAGAGGTGCCTGCATCTGGATGTGTCTGATCTCATGCAGAGGCTCAGCTGGCTGGTAGGGACCCTGGGGGCTGGGCCTGACGGCTCCCACTTTTAGACTTTCTAAGTTAAGTTTTTTGAAACTGAAAGCAGATAAAGCAGTCCTGACTCTATCATGGGTTCCCAGCGGCATGATCCAGCCAGCATCCTGGGGTTTGCTCCCATCTCCAGAACTTGGAGGAGTGCCAGGCTACAGCCTGGATGAGGCCACATCCGGGGCTCCGGTGGGAGTGACAAAGACTTCAGAGGCAGCAAAAGGAAGGGTTGTGAGCCTGGAAGGCCCTCAGCACTGCATGTGGTTGCTGCCTCTGCCTCTCACCAGTCGGAGATGTGAGGGGCTCCCTAACCTCTCAGGGGCTGTTTTCCCATCTGCTGTGTGAGCTTTCATTCTGCACGTGGCTGCATTCTTTTTCCCCAAGGCGCCCCAAGCATCACAATTACTTAGGTCTTTTCCTCCTATGGTGAACTTCCTGTCCCATCAGCCACCTCATCCAACAGCGTTTGCCTGTTCCAGGGCCATGAGCATCGAGTTCTTCTAACGAATCTGCGATCCCACTGGGGTCTTGATGTGAAATTCCCCAGCTCTGCTAAAATTGAGGTCAGTAAGGGAGGCCATTCTTGGAGGTCATGCGGCTCAGCTTCTTCGTCTCATGAGTGGGGTCTCAGCAGGAAAGAGGTGATGAAGGGAGTGTATTTGTTCAAATAATAAAAAGAAGAAGAAAATAATACATTACTGTTGAGAGTGTGACACCTTTCATTTTAAACAGTTTCCATGAATGAGTCGGTGGGAATCCTGATGGGGTGGAGGCCAAGCCTGTGACTTTCCCTGGCTGTCGTCTTTGTTTAGATGGTGGTCTCTCCAAGGGCAGTGGCCAAGGGCACTGTGTGTTTTATCACCTCCCACGTCTTTTATCATATCCAGCACAGGGGGTGCACTGAAAGTCTAGGGGTTTTGGATGTGTGAAGAAGACACTAAACCCTCCTGCCTGTCCTTTCCAGACCCCCTCAAGCCCCGGCCTGGCTGCCATACCCCCACCCCGGGAGCTCCTTCTGTAGCTGAGTGCATGCTCCTGGAAAGCAAAGGCTGTGTCCTGCTCAGGGGCAGGACAAGGGGTGAACAGAGTGGCAAGCACAGGAATTGGTGACTACCCTAGGGTCAGAGGGCAAGGAGAGGGTGCTGCGGCTCCAGGAGGCTGGGAGAGCTAGAGCTGGGGCCTGTCGTACAGAAGCCTGGCTGCTGCTGGACCTACTCCTGATGGGGTGGAGAGTAAATTCTAGAACCTTCTCTCCTCCCTTTCTCCAGGCTCCTCCTTGTGCCTCCCCTTGGCTGAGCCCAGCTGGAAGCCAGAGGCCAAGGGAGCCAGGGATGTCATCCTTGGGGTCAGCCTGCTGGGGCCAGAGAATGGATGAAACTGGGACCAAGAGGGCAGAGCCACAGCTGGAAGGACAGCTGAGTGTCAGAAAACACAGAGGGCAGATGTGCCGGCCCCAAGTCCCACCCAGCCCAGGGCCCAGCCTGCTAGCTGGTCAAGAAAAATGCAAGTTTCCTTCAAGTGGCAAACAGAAGAAGCAGCAAGGAGGTTGATGGTAAGGAGGCAGGAGCCGGGGCGAGTCTGATCTGCGCCTCCTTGGGCAGGCCCCACCCTTCAGGCCTCTGTTTCCTCCTCGCCAGGGTGAAGGCCTTGGAAGAGATCTCGCCGCCCGGACTCCACAGGAACCCACGACTCATTTTGCTCATTAGATTCCATGTGGATCTCCGATCTGCAGATGCCAGGCTCACATTCAGAAGGCATGTTTGTGAACGAAATGGGCGGTTTGCCCTCTCCAGACACTGGCACTCTGACCAGGCCACTTAAATGCAGGAGAAGACACAGAGGAAAATGAAGTGAGTCCCCTGAGATGTGTCCTCAGCCAGGGCCTGGGTATCAGCAGCTGTGGGGTCCCCCGGGAATGTGGGGACCAAGCTGAATCGTGAATAGCCCTGTAGGAAGATGGATTAAGATGTCACGCAGGTCCCAGGCTGTCAAATCTGAACTCTGCTTACTAAGGGAAACCTTTGCCCTTCAGCTTGCTTCATGCAGTGGGAACTTGGGGGCTCAGGGGACCTGGAGCTTCCTCCCTCAGTCCAGGGCACCACCCCACGTGCACTCCAGTGCTAGATTCACTGGCCAGAGGAAAATCATTTTGGAAATCTGAGGACAGGTGTGGCGCCCTGGTGTGAATTTCAGCCATGCCACTTACCAGCTACAAGATCTGGAGCAGGTATCTCAGTGGCCTTGTGCCTCTGTTCCCTTCCCTGTGAAATAGGCTTTGGTAAGGAGTGAGTCAATCAGGAAGCTGGCTTGCTTATCCATCTTTGGTGCCTGAAGTGTTAGTCCTCTCCTCTCTGATCTCCCTTTCCTGGGGAAGTCTTCCCAGATCCACCACACTAGGCCAATGTCCTATTCTGTTTCCTTGTCACCTGCCTGTCTCCCAGCAGGCTGCCTGCTCCTCAAGGGCATGGGTGCATTTGGTTCATGTGGATACCAAGCTGAATCTTTATCCTCCATCCCAGCACAGGCCAGGCATGGGGCATGGTGCTTCCTCCACTGGGGCTTCCAGAAGGTTCTCCAAGATATGAACCAGGGTGTGGCTTGTGGTCACCAGCTATAGTGAAGGGTGTACCAAGTGACTCTGGGCCATGTTTTTTATCTGCGGGCTGCTCCCTCACTCACTCCTATTTTTTCCATCAATCATTTTATTCCACAAAGGTTCACCTAGCGTCTCGAAGGCACCAGGGAGCACAGGATAAGGGGAGAACTCCTGGGGGGCAGAGAATGAAGGAGAGAGAGAATGAGAGAGAATATCAATGAGCCATATAAACAAGTCACTCCCCTGAAGAGGGCTGAGGGGGCAAGAAGGGGCCTCTTACCTCCATGGGGGGCACTGAGACAGGAATTCCCCAAGGAAAGCCCAGGAGAAGCTGAGAGCCCAGGCTTTGAGAGAAGAAAGGAGCTTAGAAACTGTCCGCTGTGACTCTCCATGGGGAAGGGAGGAACCGGGAGGCCAGGGACACTCAAGGCCCTGAGTGCAGTCCTGTGACTTCCTCTCCGGGGTTTTGTGTGCCTATTTGTCTCTGTATGTCAGAGATATGTGGCAAGAGAGATGGAGTTCACGTGGTGGCTGCCAGAGGCCTCCCAAAGAGCCCGTTGAGAGACTGCCCAGCTGTAACATGACAGGTAAGCAAATACTGCTTGAGGGGGACCTTTGGCCCCCACTTTCTGGACATGCCCTTGTCAGCCTCCATCTTCATATCTAGACAGCTGTAGGGAGTTTATCTTTACTTTCAAAAGCAACTTGCCATTTAAAGAAATAAGATGAAGTGAGTCTTATCTTACATAGGGAAGTGCTTTCTAATTGAATGCGATTCCTGGAGCTGATAAGGGATTATTGTCAGGTTCTCAATTTCCTGTCCTTTTTCTGACTTCTGTGTCTTGGGTGTGTTGGAGTCTTCATAGCTGACATGCTCAAAAGTACTTCCCACCTCTCTGACAGGAATGCACAGTTTGTAAAGCATCTCCTGATGTGTGCTCTTGTTTGAGTCTCACAGCTGTGAAGTGAGAGGAACAAGGAAGAGGATACCCATTTTGCAGATCAGGAAACTGAGGCACAGTGAAGTCTGGGAACCTTCCCAAGGTCACACAGCTGGGGTGACGGGCAGAGGCTGGTTTTCCTTCGATCCCCCAAAGCCCTGGAAATTGGACCTTCGAGATGTCCCAGATTTCAACCCTGGTGCTTGGGCATCAATGCAAAGCTGTTCAGCCAGTAAAATCCAAAAACTAAATGTGGCTATTCCAAAAGTGAACACCTGGGAAACCTCAGGGGCTTAGCTTCAAAGTGAATGCAAAGAAACAAAACCATTAAGCTACTATCAGAAATAGATGTTGGAAACAGACGTTAGAAATAGATGTTGGAAATAGTTGCTCAGTGCCGCAAAGGAAAGTTAGCACTGAGACAAAGGATCTTTCAGCAATGCAATTTTTACCTCCTGGGCTGCAGGAGGGATATCTTCGCTAGCCATCTTGCCACAAGAGTACAATGAACAAAGGAAAACACACAAATTTATCCCTTACGCATTTAGGGTCGTCCTTACTGCTGTGTCTGATCTCCATTGGTTGGAGCCAGACCTCACAATCTAAACTAAAACCCGATTGACTACCAACTTAAAATTTTCTTTATTTTTTTTCTTTGAGAGAGTCTCACTCTGTCACCAGGCTGGCGTGCAGTGGTGTGATCCCAACTCACTGCAACCTCTGCCTCCTGGGTTCAAGCAATTCCCCTGCCTCAATCTCCCAAGTAGCTGGGACTACAGGTGCATGCCACCACTCCCAGCTAATTTTTGTATTTTTAGTAGAGATGGGGGTTCACCATGTTGGCCAGGATGGTCTTGATCTCTTGACCTTGTGATCCACCCTCCTTGGCCTCCCAAAGTGCTAGAATTACAGCTGTGAGCCACCGCACCCAGCCCACAACTTAAACTTTTCTAAACAGGTAAAAGCAATGGAGAGCTGGAAAATACCTATGAGCACATCCAGCACAGATATCTTGGTAAAGGACAAGAACATAGAATGTGCTACATGTCTGTAAGCATGGCACATCTAACAGCTACATGGGATAGGGCTTCACAAAGTTATTAGCACATTTATTCTTTAACAAGAAAGAAAACTTTAAAAAGGAACTTCTCTGCTTCCCACAGACACTGTTAGTTCTGTTGTGTTCAAAACAGTTTTAGAGAAGTTGTGATCACTTTAAGAAGATGCCTACTGCAGGTGCCTAATAGGACACGTAGCATCACAGAAACAGCCACTGCTTTTGTGAGGAGCGAGGCTGAATGTTAATTGAGCATCAGTTCTGGCTCAGGCTTGAAGTTTCCAAGATCCTGCCTGGAACGCTAGGATAATCAAATATCCTTACATATATGCCTGGTGCCTAACGAAGCCTGGCACAGCAGAGAGAAAGAGACATATTTTAAATAACATTTTTCTGCTTATAAAAATTAATATATATGTATTTGAATGAATTTGGAAAATAACAAAAAATAAAGTGACAAAAACACATGGAATTCTGCCAATAAGAAATGTTTATTTTCAACATTTTGACATTTATCCGTATGCATCCAGGCTTTTAAAAACATGAGATCATAGTGTATGTGATGATTTTTAACAGCGTTTCTCATTCAACATGTAGTATCGATGTGCTATTTCATAGGGGCAAGATAGCATGTTGGTTAAGATAATGGATTCTGGAACAGTCTCTCAAGCTGTGGGCAAGTTCTTAATCTCTTTGTGCCTCCATTTCTTCCTAAATCCAACGTGGATAAGAGCAGCGCCTTTCTTACATTCTCGTAGGAGTAAACCAACTAAATGCGCGAAGTGCTTAGAACAGGGCCTGGCGTAGAGCAAGTTTTCACTAACTATTTGATGTTACTGTTCCTTCAGCACAATTATTTAAGCCTCCCCCGCTCAGCCCCACTGCTCACTTTGCACTGGGCATTTTTCATGGTCTTTTCACACATGTCACATCGAATCTCCAAATGATGCCAAGAAATTGATATTGCCTCCATTTCACAGATGTTAAAACTGAAACTTGAAGCAGACAAGTCACTTGCCAAGTCATGTGGGGATCAGCAAAGCCAGGATCAAACCCCTCCGGGTCCTGTATGACCCCCAGGTCCTCGGACTGTGACCAGACCACCCTGCTCCTGATCTTAGCTCTGAGCAAACCAGATCGGCACTGAGGATGCTGCCATTGATTTGTCTGCCATTGATTGTTGCTGCTTCCTAGGGCTGGGTATGCAGGGAAGGAGGTCTTTTCAGTCCATTATTAAACCGCCACACACCGCCAATCATTTTAAACCGGCTGCTGCCTCTCCCTAAAGCTTCCTTAGTCAGCTGGGACTGAGATTCTTCCAGGAGCAACCCTTCCTCCAGTGCCTGGTAGATTCCCAGCATTCCATAAATGCTTGAACGACTGAGCCGAAACTTTACACAGGAGTTGGTTTACTCCTACAGGAGTGTAAGAAAGGTGCGTCTCTTGTCCACATTTTATTTAGGAAGAAATGGAGGCACAAAGGGATTAAGAACTTGCCCTCGGCTTGAGAGATTATTCCAAAATTCATCATCTTTATTTTTTTACTTTGGGAATGAAAGCAAAACCCAAGAAAGACAAAGAAAGGAAACGAGGTATTTCATTAGAGAAGACTTGGAAACTACCACCCCAAGTAGTACCTAGTAGAAGTGAGAGGAGGAGGAGTCCCATGGTAAATTGGAAAAAGCCTTGGTCTGGGGCCAGGCCAACCTTAGTTCCAATCCCTGTGTGACCTTGAGTGTCCCTCAGCCTCCTCTGTACAGTGGGGACAAGGCTGCAGTGAGGACAATGGGAGAGAATGTGTCTAGAGTGTCTAGCATGTGCTGGGCATGAGTTTAGACTTTTTTTTTTCTTTTTCTTTTTGAGACGGAGTCTTGCTCTGCCACCCAAACTGGAGTGCAGTGGCACAATCTCGGCTCATTAGAAACTCTGCCTCCCAGGTTCAAGTGATTCTCCTGCCTCAGCCTCCTGAGTAACTGGGACTACAGGTGCCCGACACCACACCAGGCTAATTTTTGTATTTTTAGTAGAGATGGGGTTTCACCATGTCAGCCAGGCTAGTCTTGAAATCCCAAAGTGCTGGGATTATAAGCGTGAGCCACTGCACCTGGTCGAGTTTAGACTCTTAAGAGCAGAAGCCCTGTTTTCTGTGTTATAGAAATTGGTGCCATTAATTTCTAGTAGAGTATTGGGCACACTGCAGGCATGAGGAAATGTTACTGGACAAATGAATACTTAACAAATAAATGTTAGTTTCTC